TGGTATTGGAAATATGTATATGTCTTTAAAACACGAGGAAACGGTAAAATATTGTTAATGAATGATTCTGAATTTTAAAGATTTGTTTGATAATTACAGGAGTTTATCGCACAATAATCTACAATATCTTAGTTCTGGAATATTTGATGGATTAAGTAATCTGACTACTCTGTAAGTAAATTATATCCACATGTTTTAATTATATAATATGATGAAATGGGATCATTTGATCATACACATCAATTGATGCTATTCTGTATCGATTTTTTGTCTTTCATATGATTTAGTCTCAGTATTTGATTCTAAAAAACTGTTCGTTCAGTTTATGAAAACGATTTATCGTGTAATCAGCGTTCCAGTCAAAGTTTGGCTAAATATGGCCTTGTTTTCACTTCAGACATAATGTCGTCTTTTAAGTTCTTATAATGTGACCTAGTCATTTAGCAACATATTACTTTTACTGCTATTACGGTTCTAATCTTACACAATCTTTCATTGGGATTGAACTATTGTCTTCTAAGTTGTCAAGTTTCTAATTAAAGATTTGACTACCTTTTTGTATTTATTTACTCGTTATTAATATACTGGAAACACAAATTTCAAATGATCAAGAAATATCTGATGTAAGCTTTGACTTGACCATTGAATTTTCTACTATAAGCAGTTGTTATATTCTTGAAACATTGGTTTGACATCATCAGGTAACTAAAATCATGTTGCCAGTTAAAGAAGGGTCCTCTCTGATCTATAATAAATCAAGTGATCGGCCGGAGAAAAATTATTTTAGCTCAGTTAATAGTTAACTGGTTAATAGTTAACTTAATACTGACGTGTTATTTCGTCCCTACCCGTCATTAAAATTTGACAAAACTCAGTAAGTTTAATAATGTGTACTAGTATATACGTTTTCTACGCCCACATGAAATGGGGGGGGGGGGGGGGGCTATATTGGCGTCATCTATGTCCGTGCTAGTATTCTATAGAAAGCACAACTTTATAGAATTTGTGGAAACTTGGCGTGAGTGTTTGTAATCGCCCAAGGATCAACACTATTGAAAATCAGAAAAATTGAAAAATATTTAGTATGAGTTATTGCCCGCGGTTAATTTTGAACACTCTATACAAGGCACAATTCTACACGTATTTTTACGAAACTTGTTGAAATTGCTTATTATCACCCATGGATTGAAAATATTATAAAAGTATTTACCTCTTCTTGAAAACCTTTACTTTGTAAACACTTAAAAGCAGAATTTTGACAAAACTTGGTAATATTGTTTGGTATCGTCCCAAAAAGTTCAATAGAAGTGCATTACTGATGGTTGAATAGTTCATACTAGTGATTGACTTACGTTATATAAGTGATAGTGGACGTATATAACATACCTGTCAAGCTATCTTTTATATTCGTGATATCTCAGATGAAGTAACCTTCATCAGTTTTGAAGAACGGCTTTTGGTAATTACAATGTGATTAAAATTAGATTAGGCGATAATTTAATCTAAAATTATTTATATAATGACATAAAGAAATATTTTCGCTGTTAAAAACTTAATTGATTCACACTTACACGTGCCTTGAAAATAATTAATTCTCAAATATGAGAAAAAGGCTGGACGAGGTGCTGAAATTGTTATTTTGAAATGAAAGTTGGAACACAAGTAACCATGATTTCCACACACGAGTTATATGTTGACACATAAATTCTGAAGTCAATTAAACCTTATATAGAAATTATTGAATATTGTTTGTTAATTGTAATTGTAAATACATTCTTTCAAGTATTATACAATTAGAAGAGTTAATTAAGTTTTAATAATTAAATTTTTTTGGTCAACCTAAGAGGTAGTATACCTTTAAGCAAATCGTATAAACTTGCTTCACCGATCGATATCAACATGTGATACAAATCAAATCGCCTTAAATTAAATGACCAAGTTGATCACCAAGTTGACCCATTGCATAGTTTTTGAAATTTCCTTACTTGATACCACTGTTGTCTACCATCTTGAATCTCTGACAAAGCGCACCAAGGCACTGTGAGCCACGACTTGATCGAATTGGGTCAGCACTTTGGCAAATCGCTAAAATAAATGTGTATTGTAGGCAAATGGTTGTAGGCGCCTAGCTTTATAAATACACATTTGATCTGTATTAATGCGATTTGCGTAAATAAAAACATTGGAAAGATTAAAAATAAGAAATGAAGAGAGAAAGAACACAGCAAAAATGACCAGACCTATGAATATATCGTCATCTTCAAGACTCTTTATTTCCAAACACCAAAATATATATTTATCATTTTGATTTAAAAGTATCAGATTAAATTAATTCTGTTTTATTCCAACCGTTATTGATGTATGTTCTTGACACTTTGGTGTAAGTTTTAAAGTTCTTCTGGATGTCAAGCTCCAGGAAATGTGTGAGACTGAAGTTGTTCTTTAAGTAGATTTAAAATTGTTTCACACAGTTTTTATATAAAATGCAATTGTTGTGAATAAACACTTCTTGGAAAATAGCCTTGACATTTTCCTTTTTTTCTGCATTAAACAATGAATATTTTAAAATGAAGAATAGAAAACTGATTTAATATAATGTGTATATGTCAATAAAATACAAAATATAACTGGGGCATACTACAATTCTTACTACAGAAAACTGTCATTGCATTGTGTCTGGCATATTTCTCTGTAGCTGCAGAGATCCATGTTCGATTTTTAGGGGCGTCTCATTCTGAAGTCTATATACAGCATTTCCTTTTCGTAATTCAAGCTTCCTGACCATAATTTCTGATGAAATAATAGGCATTCTGTAATCAGAACAACTATTATTCCTTCAAAATCAAGAAACCTTGAAATTAAACTTGAATTGAATTTATGGGCGTTTCAATGATAAGGTTTATTGGAATGTGATCGCGGTCTTTACACGATACGCAAAATGTTATTAGCCATCTTCAAATTGTTATATAATATCCACATCTTCATTTTCTTTTTTTTCAGTGTTCTAACCAATAATAATATTTTGAGTATTGAAGAAACAGTTTTTAACCCACTCTTGAGTATTCGATCTCTGTAAGTACATGACTGTATACTAAAAAATATGTAGAATCTTCTAATTAGCTTACCATATCTGGCGGTTGTATCAAGTACCATAAGAGCCGAACTCTTGTCAGATACTTTATATGAGCACTCACTTGATACCAAGACGATATTTTATATATCGAATTCTACAGACTGAAAAAAAGATATCTGAAGTGATTTTGAACAACCACTACCCTAGGGTCATTATCTTCATTTTCGGATGATCAGTGAATGGAAATTTCCATCAGGAAAGATAGCCTATACATGTCTTTATAATTATTTTTCAGCAATTTGAAAGAAAACCCATTTTCTACCGTTCCTCAAGAAACATTTAGTTTATTAACTACCTTAAAGAATGTGTAAGTATTACTTTCAATCATTGGGGAACAAAATAACCATAAATTACTATTTTAATTGGTATATTGTTTAGTCATTATACCCCTCTCCATGGATTCGTGACTGACATGACGATACCAGTCGATTACTTCTCGAATACAATCAATATAGGTATTGATGTCAAACTTATTACAGTTAGACCCCCACAGGGTTAAAGCTTTAAGAATTGTTTAAAGAGAGTTTTTTTGTACGGGAAACAACATGGGTTTCTATTTGCAATATTTCAAACTACTGTCTGACTTTTATGGTCTAAAAATATATTCAAGCGCGTTTGTTGTCTCTTTATTTAAAGCATGATTCCTTAATGTTGGCGATGTAACCTCATAAACGTACAAACGTATAATTACTGTCATTTCTTTTTGTGCTTTTTCACAAACCCATTAGTTGGGCATAGTTCAATTTTCTAAAATAGGTAATAGAGTAATAGTATTGATTTGATATTCGAAACTGGAGTAAATTGTAAAATATATTTGTGAAAATTGTTTGTGTCTATTTATAGAGCAGGATATACAAATAATTAATGTCACCTACATTATTTTTAATTTCTGTCAGCTGAACATGAACACGTTATTACGTGTATAATACAGATCATACTGAAACCTTTTACCTTTTAACCTTTGTGAGTTAAGATTCTATTTCGTCGTTTAAAATGATCTGGTGGAAGTTTATTTCAACATTTTTATTTTTCTTATATACAGCTATAAATGTATTGTAATATGTTTTTTAATCTTTAATAAGACAGTAAGAGGTCTTTATCAACACCTGCGGCTCGTTCTAATCATTTTAAAGGGGCGGATGCGCCATTTTGAGAGATTGATTTCAGTCTTGAATATCTGTAAATAGTCTTCAGAAGTACTAGAAATGTAGGAAAATCAAAATATTCCTTCAAAAAAATCTTAAACTATGAATTTCTTCTCCTATTTCTATATATATGCCCTTTCTATGAATCACAGAGTCGTCATTTTAACATTCAAACGCGAATAATTCTAGACACACGTGGATTTGAATGCTCAAATTACGATAGTGATCTGTGAACACTATTATTGATTGGTTTTGCTAAAAATACCCGTTTCTGAGGCTAACGCATGGTTGGTAAAAATGCATGCTCTTGACTTCAGTTTTATATCCCTTTAAGTAATAGAAATTGACAAATTGTGTTTAATGAATTGTTACTTAGGGAATCCTGTCATTAGGAGCAAAAACTAATAATAATAATATTGGAAATATGATGACAATGAAGACTCCATTTGTTTCTTGATGCCATCAATTTGTTGTAATTGATTTGCTTTTTCAATAATAAAAAAACAGTGTTAAGTTTTTTCAGCTATGATATTGCTGCAATCTACTTAAACTAAGTGTTTGATGACGTCACAAATCGAATGTGATAAAGCATATTTTGAGATTACTGACGTCATCAAATACCTATTTTTGTGGCACTGCACCAACTACTGACTGAAAATTTGAATGGTGCAAGTTGATGCTATCAGTGTCCCAGATACACATAATTTTTTTTAGAGAACCTCTTTACAATCTCTATGAGGCAATGTATTATATTTTTGTACTTTTTCAGATATTTTGATAAAATCCACTTCTGTGCCTATGTATCTGATGTGATATCGTGTGAACCACGTGGTGATGGTATATCGAGTCAAGAAAACCTTTTAGAGAATATTGTATTAAGGATAAGTGTATGGGTTGTAGCTGTTCTTGCCTGTGCTGGAAATATCATTGTTCTCTTGGGTCGTTTTCTTTTAAAAGAAGACAACCAAATCCATTCATTTTTCATTAAAAACTTATCCTTTGCTGATATGATCATGGGTGTTTATTTGTTGATGATCGGTACCAGGGATAAAATGTATCGGGGAAATTATGTTCTTCATGATGAAGAATGGAGGAATAGCTGGACTTGCGATCTTTCTGGAATTATAAGTACAGTTAGCAGTGAAGTGTCAGTGTTAACACTAACTGTAATAACACTAGATAGATACATATGTATCATGTATCCACTATCATTAAGGAAAAGAGGATTAAAGGTAGCCTATTGTGTAATGGGATTTACGTGGTTAATGTGTATATTGTTTGCAGTGATACCTGTAATTGGTATACCATATTTTGGAACCACTTTTTATCGTAATAACGGTGTGTGTATACCTTTACATCTTCACGACCCAAGAGCTAATGGCTGGGAATACTCGTCATTTCTGTTCATTGGAATGAATTTAGCATCGTTTCTATTTATATCCTATGCATATCTTGCTATGTTTGTGTCTATAAAACACACTGAAGTACCTTTAAGGACAACAAGAGAGAGTCGTGAAAGATGTTTAGTGAAAAGATTTTCATTTATTGTGATCACAGACTTTATATGTTGGATACCTATAATTATTATTAAAGTTGTAGCACTTTCAGGTAAGTTCTGTCACGTCTGACGAATTTAACAATAACTAAGTAGGTTCTCTGTAACCTTAGTGTGAACTGCAGTGAATATAAACACTGCTGAACATATTGTCTGGTTGTGGTGTCATTTGATGGAAAGACCTTTATTAAGAAAATACGGCCATGGTCTAACAATGAAGATTTCTGACATAATCAACAGCGAAGCCAGGGATATGTACTTTTTCAATAATAATAAAAACTTAAAGAGCCATTTTTTTCTTGGTACGAATGTCGTATTAACACCATAATAGTTTGTATCTCACCTCTGTTATTCATTTAAAGCCCAGGATGTCATTTGCAGGCTATAAAAAACTTAATATTGCAGACTGAAGAATACACCCTGCTGTTATTGTTGACTTGTTGTGACATGTTATTTAACGTCTGCTAGAAACAGGTTAATACTAGATGTTCAATTGTTTTTTTTTAATTCAATTTTTGTCTGTTTCAGGAGTCAAGATATCAGGAGATCTGTATGCGTGGGTTGTGGTGTTTATATTACCAGTCAATAGCGCATTAAATCCACTTTTATATACTTTAACCACAAAATTATTCAAACAAAAACTTATTTCTAAATTTGCTACAGTTGTATGGAGACCAAATATTTATAGAGATTCTTCACAATCTTGCGCCAGACACACTTTAACCAGACATCATCAAAATGGAATTGAGGTAAGTATTAATGATGTCTGTAATAGCTAACTGTAGACCTATCATCATGAAAATACGATCACTTGGGTCATTTCCTTGTCGTGTTACGAATAGACGACAGGCTGAATTCCACCTGATGTCTTCATCTGAAATAATTGTCTGAAAGACAACTTGTTCCTTGTTCAAATCAACAGAAAATGCTGTAAAAATTATGATTATTCTGATCGAACAAATTGAACTTTAATGTTAAATCGTATGAAATGGATTTGTGATCTTTGATCATGAAATGTGCAATTGATATTTTTATTATTTAGTTTAATTTTTGTCATGTGAGAACAGAACTATACGTTTTGTCACTATCACTACAGCTTCATTATCATCAGAGTTCAACTTTAAATCTGGCTATTAGAATTTCTGATATTAAGAATTTAATCATCCAAACGTTTGATTAAGAAGGTCAAATCTAAACATTTGATTAAGACGGTCATGCCTAAACGTTTGATTCAGAAGGTTATATCTAAACGTTTGATCAGGACGGTCAAATCTGATTAAGACGGTCAAATCTAAACGTTTGATTAAGAAGATCATATCTAAAAGTTTGATTAGGAAGGTCATATCTAAACGTTTGATTAAGAAGGCCAAATCTAAACGTTTGATTTAGACGGTCAAATCTAAAGGTTCGATTAAGATGATCATATCTAAACGTTTGATTAAGAAGGTCATATCTAAACGTTTGATTAGGAAGGTCATACCTAAACGTTTGATTAAGAAAATCAAATCTAAACGTTTGATTAAGAAAATCAAATCAAAACGTTTGATTAAGAAAATCAAATCTAAACGTTTGATTAGGAAGATCATATTATCTAAACGTTTGATTAAGACGGTCAAATCTGATTAAGACGGTCAAATCTAAACGTTTGATTAAGAAAATCAAATCTAAACGTTTGATTAAGAAAATCAAATCTAAACGTTTGATTAAGAAGATCAAATCTAAACGTTTGATTAAGACGGTCAAATCTAAACGTTTGATTAAGACGGTCATATCTAAACGTTTGATTCAGAAGGCCAAATCTGATTAAGACGGTCATATCTAAACGTTTGATTAAGAAGGTCATATCTAAACGTTTGATTAAGAAGGTCATATCTAAACGTTTGATTCAGAAGACCAAATCTGATTAAGACGGTCATATCTAAACGTTTGATTAAGAAGGTCATATCTAACTGTTTAATCAGGACGGTCAAATCTGATTAAGACGGCCAAATCTAAACGTTTGATTAAGAAGGTCCAATCTAAACGTTTGATTAAGAAGGTCAAATCTAAACGTTTGATTAAGAAGGTCCTAAGTAAACGTTTGATTAAGAAGGTCATATCTAAACGTTTGATTAAGAAGGTCATATCTAAACGTTTGATTCAGAAGACCAAATCTGATTAAGACGGTCATATCTAAACGTTTGATTAAGAAGGTCATATCTAAATGTTTGATCAGGACGGTCAAATCTGATTAAGACGGTCAAATCTAAACGTTTGATTAAGAAGGTCATATCTAGAAGATCATATCTAAACGTTTGATTAGGAAGGTCATATCTTAACGTTTGATTAAGAAGGCCAACTCTAAACGTTTGATTAGGTAGGTCAAATCTGATTAAGGCGGTCAAATCTAAACGTTTGATTACGAAGATCATATCTAAACGTTTGAATAAGAAGATCATAACTAGAAGATCATATCTAAACGTTTGATTAGGAAGGTCCAATCTAAACGTTTGATAGGAAGGTCATTTCTAAACGTTTGATTAAGAAGGCCAAATCTTAACGTTTGATTCAGAAGACCAAATCTGATTAAGACGGTCAAATCTAAACGTAGATTAAAAAGATCATATCTAAAAGTAGATTAAGAAGGTCATATTTAGAAGATCATAACTAAACGTTTGATTAGGAAGATCATATCTAAACGTTTGATTAGGAAGATCATATCTAAACGTTTGATTAAGACGATCATATCTAAACCTTTGATTAAGACGGTCATATCTAAACCTTTGATTAAGACGGTCAAATCTGATTAAGACGGTCAAATCTAAACGTTTGATTAAGAAGATCATATTTAGAAGATCATATCTAAACGTTTGATTAGGTAGGTCAAATCTGATTAGGTAGGTCAAATATGATTAGGTGGGTCAAATCTGATTAAGAAGGCCAAATCTAAACGTTTGATTAGGTAGGTCAAATCTGATAAGACA